ATAAAATAAAAAATTCATTAATAATGGGTCGTGCTGCACCGTCGAGTCCAGATGAGAAAAAAGTGCTCTTTAACTTATTAAAAATGGGTCAATCCGTTAATTACATAGTCAGAGCTATTGGTCGCAGCCAAACTGTGATTAAAAGCCACGTTAATAGTCCTCGTACGTATAGAATAAAAAAAAGTTGCGGACATCCATCAACATTAAGTGACCGTGAAAGGCGAAGGTTGTTGAGACGAGCTTAAAATTCTTCATTAACTGCACGTCAAATTGCTGCAGAAGCAGGTGTGATTGCTAATTTACGTACAGTTCAGCAAATTATTTATAATGCTTTTCACCTTACGCGCAAAAAACCTCAGCGAAAACCACCTTTGACAACAAATCACATAAAGAATTGAATAACTTTTTCAAAGGACCAAGTAACATGGAAAGCAGAGTGGCAACAAGTAGTATTTTCATACAAAAAACGCTTTTGTCTTGATGGGCCGGATAGATGGAATTATTATTTTCACGATTTGCGTAAAGAACCAGTAACACAGCAACGACGTCAAATGGGTAGTGGTGGTGTGATGATATGCAATTGGGTGATAAATCAAAAGTTCATTTTGTTGACGGAAAAATGAAGGCTAAGGATTATTTTTTAATTGTTTAAGAATTTTTTAGACGTGAAGTATCTGTTATAGGTGGTTCATACAGCTAAGATAGTAAAGGAATATTTCAACAGCAATAAAATTGAAACATTGAAGTGGCCAGCTAGATCTCCAGACCTGAACATTATTGAGGATGCTTGGGAACAGCTGTCACATATAGTTTTTGAAGGTAGTAAACAATATAGTTCATTAGCTGACTTGAAATCATCCATCGCATCTGCATGGGATGCAATTGACATTTTGTACATAAAAAAGTTGTATGATTCTTTACCTTCTAGAGTAAATGAAGTGATTCAAAAAAATCGTAAAAGTACCCACTATTGATTGTTTAAAATTGAGATGTTTTTTTATATAAAATGACAATTTATATGAACTTTTTCCAAAAGTGTTTTATAATTTTGTCGCACTCAAAAAGCAGTTTTTTTTTTTAAATAAAATGCAAGTTAGGTTTAAAATAAATTTTTAAAATGTTGTTTAGTCTTGCAATCCTTTTGTTCTCATTTACTATAAAAATTAGTTTTTAAATATAAATGTATAGTAGAGTTTTATAAATATTTTTGGGATATTTTATTATTATGTCGCGCAGTGTACAAAAAAGTGGATTGGATCAAGCATAAAAACACACTAAAATTTTTTAATAACATATTTAGGGAGTAATTTTTTTTCTGAACTATAAGTTTTTTAATTCTTAAAAGAACAAAGGCAAATCCAGACCATGTCGTAGGGGGCGATTTTTTTTTTTTTTTTTTTTTTTTGACTTGGGAAGTGCAGATGATCAAGTTGGGGAATGGGGGAAGGGGAAAGGGGAAGATTTTCAGGTTTAATGATTTATAAGCAAGCAATCACACAATTTTGAATTTTATTAAAATTGTAATTTTATTTAGACAGCCTAACTATATTATTTCCGTTTTCAAACAACTTCCTGTGTTTGATACATTTACTTACAAAAATAAAAAAAATTTAAAACATTTTAAGGAGGAGCAATCACCCCCATCGCCCCCAATGAATACGCCCTTTAAAGGCAGGCTATTTCAAAAACATTTTTACTTTTTAAGAATGGGTGGGTGGTATAACTTAAAAGTACGCATAGCAAACAGGAAAAGGGGGCCGTACGTACTTCATAGTCAACCCTTAAATCTTTAATAATTTTCGAGAACAACACGCTATAAGTTTTTTCACTGTATTGGTGCACCGGAGGATTAAAGAGCACTTCTCTGTTCCTTAAAATAATTATTACGTCGGTAAATTCACTACATCTAATAATAATTACGTCAGTAATAAAACAATAATAATTACATCGGTAAATTCACTACATAAATAATACTTAAATAAAGCTAAGTAAAATTTGAGAAGTTCACTCCATCTTTGCTGCTTACTAAAAATAATTATGTTAGCATCGCAGTTTTACTATCCGTTTTAACATATGAATCTAGAGCAGCAGCATAGAAGAGTCAGACTTTATTAGCAGCTACTTTAAGTTAATATTATACAGTTACTTTTTGAAAGATTTTAATGTGATAGAGCACAATCAGGGCCGTCCCGAAGTGGTCTTCTATGGGGATAGGGGGCGTTGTATGTATTTTTTGCCAATTAGTGTTACCAAAAAAAATAATAATAAAGTTCCTTAATATTTGCGATTTGCCAACTAAGTTTCAAAACTTGCCTAATGTGCCAACTCAAACCCTTATATAAAAGCTTTGAGGGGGGGGAGCACCCCCTACACCCCCCAGATCGGGACAACCCTGAGCACAATTAGAATACTCACCATACTACTTTCTTCAAAATATAAAAGTATTGTTTTTTTATTTATCTTATTCAAAATTTTATCCTCTTTCTTTTGATGAATGTATTAAGTAGAATTTATTTTTTGAAATGTGATTAAAATCTATATTTGCAATATTGTTTGCATTTGCAACGCAATAGCAACCACAAACATACCTTTTGTTTATTATATGTTGGGCAAACTTTGCAAACTTATGTTTGTTTTGTTTATTATGCTTTAAATTTTTTATTTAATTTGATTTTAAAAAGTTTAAATAATTGAGAATGTTTTGGAAGCCATTGTTGTTATTTTTGTATTCAACGCTATTGTTGTTAGTATTGTTGTGTTAAAGATTTATTATAATTAGTTGTATAGTATAAGAAATAAATAAAAAAGGAAATAAACTTTAAAAAAAAAATAAACAAAATTTTAGCAGAAAAAAAAAAGCATGGAATGGCATAGTTCCAAAGAATGTTGATAATGTTGATGGTTCTTGTATCAAATCTCAACGTTCAAGTGAAAGAGAAATTTCTTCAAAAACAATAACAGAATTTTCTGCTAGTTCTTCTCCACAAACAGAAAACTATTTTATTATTGTGCATTTTTATTTACTTAAAAAAATTTTTATTTACTCAAAAAAATTTTATTAACTCAAAAAAATTTTGCCAACTCTTTATGTTCATAATGTTGAAAAAGATTTTAAAAAGACAAGGTTTCTTTCATGTTCTAACAATAAACTATGATAGTTGTTCATATTCATAAAATAATTAATACCTCCTCAGAAATAAAAAAGGAGGAGGAAAGTAAAGGTCGAAATACATCTAAGTTAAATGTATACTCTGTAATAGCTTTTTGTGAAATTGGCTGTGGTTTTTCATCAATGAATACATTTGCATCTTTAATAAATTTTAAATGTTCTCCAAAATTTGGAATTTGTTGTATCAAAAAAAAAAGTTATGAAGTCTTATTGCCACAGATATCATGCATGCAGCAGCAATGGAAGCTTCTCATATTGAAACTGTTAGTTATATTCCATGTGTTTGAATATCAATTGATGAATTATTGCAAAAGGGTTGCTATTTGTCTTTGAATGGGGTGATCACTGCTATCGCTGTCGATAAATGTATTGATGTATAAATAAAATCAAGACATTGCTATGGAAAATATAGATAAGAAAAGAAAATACAGCTAATTATAATCATTGGAAAATTAATCATCAATGCCGAATTAACTATAATGGGTCATGAGCTTCAATGGAATCAGCTGGGGGCAGTAGACATTTTTAAGCGTAAAGAATGTATTGCTTATGTCGAAAAATAATTAGGCACTCGATTGTGTAACATTGTTAAATTTTATTAAGGCGCTAAAATACTTCTCTCAGGAAACTTACTGAAAATTACATTAACTCAATGCAGAACTATTTTGGTTGTGCCATTAGAAGCAACTTTGATAATCTGTATACAATGAAGAAAGCTGTTTTTGCAATAGTTTTTTATTTTACAGATATTCCAGATACTGAGTGACATCAGTTTGTGTACAAAATGATTTATCTTGGTGTAAATATTGGACTATTAGTAAAGCTAACAAACCAAATATATTTATTCCACTATCAATCAAAAATCTTATTATGCCCATTTTTATGGACTTACAGAAAGATGAACTACTGTTGAAATGTAAGCATAGTCAAATACAAATTTTAAATGAAGCACTTAATTCACTCATATAGTTTAGGGTACCCAACAATAAGATTTGTTAGTAAAGATATTTTGGAAATGGGCGTAAAGTCTGCTGTTTTAGATTAAAATGATGGTTGAAATGGTGTGTTGAAGAGCATTTTAAGTTACAGCATTTAGATATACAAGGAAATGTTACACAATCGACAATAAATTTAGCAGACAATGTAACAATAGAATAAATGAAACAAAAGACTACTAATACAGTAAAAAAAAAAAAGAAGAAACTAAGAACAATAAAAAAAGGCTTCAAGAAGGTTCGAAAAGTAAAAGAACCTTTGTTTATTTGTATGTTTTAGGTGGATTTTAACATGATTTTGCTGCTTAAATGGTCTTTTTCATTTATTTTGTACTTATTTTTGTATTTTCTGCAACAAAGTTTTTTATATATTATCAAGATTTTAAAACATGCTTTTTTATGACTTGATAAATCTTTTGTTCTGAAAGGACATATTCTTAACAACATTAAAATTCATTTGACAAATTTTATTACTTTTAAAACTTATTCTTTTTAGTTTTAACTTCTTGTAAATGTTATGAATTTCAACTTAATTTTAAAAAAAGGTTATATTTTTACAAATAAAATGACTAATTTAAGGTCTGTCTGTCAAATGTCATCAGTCAAATGTCATAATGTCATCAACAGATCTGCAAAGTTTGATTCGTAGTTTTTAAGTCTAACCTAGATAACATGTTTTGAAATCTTAAGAATTTTTTTCACACTCTTTTTGCGCATACTCTTTTAGTAATTTCAAAATTATTTTTTTGCAAAAACATTATTTTTATTTTTAGTGATAGCATTTCTGCATATATATTTTACACTTTTTTTTAATTTTTCATGAAAAGTGTTTTGTGCTCTACCACCTTAAAAATATTTAGAAAATATTTTACAAATATCAATAAATATTCCATTGAAATTTCTCTGAGTTGGTGTTAATACAAAAAAATACTTTTTAAAGAAGAATTGTTTAAGGGCGTTATCTAAAATGTCAAAATCAACGTTGGAAATATTCAATGTGATCATTTTAATATCAATTGACGTTTGTGCTTTGACTGGTAACTGTATGATTATACTTGCATTCATAATTGGTCCTAAATCTTTAAAGACACTAACCAACTACTTTGTTGTTAATCTGGCTGTGGCTGATTTAATGGTTGCGATTTTGCCGCTCCCTTTCTGGATTGCATATCAAATTGGTAGGTGCAAAATATAGTTAAGCTTGATTTATTTATTAGCATCAATTTTTAAAACAGTTTTTAAATAAATTAGAATAAGAATAATATTTGCTTTTTTTAAAAAAAGTTATTTTTAAAATATATATATATATATATATATATATATATATATATATATATATATATATTTATATATATATATATATATATATATATATATATATATATATATATATATATATATATATTTATATATATATATACATATATATATTTATATATATATATATATATATATATATATATATATATATATATATATATTTATATATATATATACATATATATATTTATATATATATATATATATATATATATATATATATATATATATATATATATATATATATATATATATATATATATATATATGTATACATATATACATATACATATATATATTATATTATATTATATATATATATATATATATATATATATATATTATTTTAGACTACAATATTATCAATAGAAATGCAGTATATTTCTTTATTACGACGGACGTTCTCTTCGGAATTACATCAATATTAAGTCTGACTGCCATCAGTTTAGAACGAATGTTTGCTGTTAAATTTCCTACTCGTCATTTTAACTTGTCGTCAGCTTTGGTTTTTATTGTAATTGCATTTACATGGTTTATTGGAATTGTTTTCTCAGTTGCACAATTTTTTATATCATTTCAAAATGTAAGATGGTATATCGCTTTCTTACTTGTATTTGCTTATATTTTCCCTCTATTTATAATTGTTGTTTCTTACTGTATTATATACTGTGCTATTCGGATGATGAGAGATAACAGTAATCAAGATGGAAAAACTAAACAGGAGTTACGAGTTGCCAAGATTATATCTATAATAATTGGATTGTTCTTTATTTGTTGGAGTCCTTTCTTTATTTTAAACACGGTTCACCTATTTTGCAAAGAAGTTTATTGTAGAAAGCTACCAATATGGTTAATTAACATCACTAAAATGTTACATTACAGTCACAGCATGATGAATTTCTTCGTTTACGGATACCGAAGCCCAGATTTTCGTCACATATTTCGGGCATTTTTAAAATGCCGTTTAAGTCTTATGCAAGGTAGAGTACGCTCATTGTCCGAAAGCATAAATCTTGAACAAAGTTCTTCATTCAAAAGAGAAAGAAATATTGAAAATAGTGAAGAAGTCTTGGTCACGCTTGCGTCCGACGAAATTTAAATGCTTAAACGCATACATTACATTATTTGTGCTTAAGGTTTTATTTATTAAGTATTCTAGGTGTTGCGGTCACAAGAAACCGTATACAGAAATAAACCACCTAAACAATAAACAAGCATTTTGTTGTTGTTTTAAAGATTATTGTTGCTGATGTTGCAGTTTTTGGGGTTATTTTTGATGGAAACATTTATTAACACATTATAGAATTTTTTTTAGCACGTTTTACTTAAAGAAATTTTACGTTGCCTGCGTACAGCTGGCGCAAATGTTTTGCAAATTTTTGAAGTAATCTTATATATTTATAATACGCTCCAATATTTAAAGTTTTTGTCAATATTAGCATGGATTTTGAGGTTACTGTACGTCTGGCAGCTTTACACTGGTGTTTTAAAAACATACATAATACCAGTGCTTAAAGAGAATTGATGGAAGGTTTATTAAATGTTTCTCAGAGACATAAGTAAAATTATTTTTTTACAAAGTTGTTGTTTTTATATTACTATCTGACTGTGAATCAAGTTATTTACAATATAAACTTCTGATATATTATTGCGACCGCTATTCCCAAGTGTATTGAAAATATGTTTAACCGCGCGAACATAAAGACAGTATTTTATCGGAGTACTTTTTTTGAAATAAAAAGCATACTGGTGGCCTAGATTAGCTACTAAAAACACTGATGCATTGATTGAAAAAATGGTGATCAAGTATTTCCAATTTAATGAATTCCCAATTAACTGCCTTAGAATTGAAAAAAAAGAAACGTTATTGCTTGAAAAAGTGTCTATTAAAACACTTCTTTTATGGTAAGTCATTTTAAGTAAGACTTGCCATGAAATTTACTTACTCCATAATATCCCCCCTCCCTTCTAATCTTGATTTTTTGGATAAAAAAAAAACAAACAAACAAACAACAACAACAACAACAACAAGCTATTTATTTTCCGTCAATCATTTTTACAATAGTTTTGATAATAATAACAATAATAATAGCAATAATAATATATTATGATAATTATGATAATATAATAAAAAAAAATTAATACAAAATATTGTAATAGCAAAAATAAGTAAGCTTACAATAATTTCAATGAAAAAATAATAATAATAACTAATATTATAATGGTAGTTATGAGCATAAAATTATTTATAGCAATAAGTTAATAATTTATTAGGATGGGAGATTTCCTTTCACTCATACAGAAATCTGATCAAAGAAGTAACACCAATTTTTAAATATAATATAAGTAATAATAAGCAAAGACACATACACTGAAACACATGGACCGTAAACACACAGACCAAAGTACATAGAACATACTTCAAAACAAACATGTAGAAATCATGATTTGCAGGTTTTAATAATAAAAAAAGGAAAAATAACCAAACAAAAAGTATTGATGGTAATTGTAGTAGTAATGAAAAGAAAATTAAAATAATATTTTAATTGTAAGGATAATAATGTCTAAGAGATTAAAATGTTTTTCAGAATTTTTCTTAAAATTGATATTGTTTAAGATAAAGTAAAGGTATTTAAGAATATATTTTTTTGGACTCATTCAAAATGCATGCAAGGCTCCTGTTCCATTCACAGATGCACTGGTAAACAATAGAATTTTTACCATACTTTTGGGTTTTAAAAGATGGTACATTTAGTTTAGTTTGTAGAGTAGAAATGTAATAGTCTACTTTTTGTGAACAAGTTTGTGATAGGAGATGGTTTTTATTTAAGGAGTCAAAAACAAAAAGAAGATTAGCATACTTTACTAGCGCTGGAAATGTTGAAAAGAAATATTTTTGAAGGATTTAGATGTGTTTGATTTAATTGGTTAGAAGTTTATTAATCTGATGGATTAAAGTTGAGACAAAAGCAACTTGTTAATGCTATAGTTTCCAACTTGACCCCAAACTTGACACCAATAGCTAAGATGAGATGAGAATAATGCATAGTAAATAATGACGAATTATTGAAAGTATACCGTTAGCTCAAGATTTCATGAAAGTTCCATGAAAGATTGCAATCAATTAATACACCAAGATATATAATAACTCTTGAATGATATAGCCATTTATTATTAATTTTGATTTTGATTTCAACATTTTTAAATAAATAGTTTTATCTCGGAGATGAAAAAAAAAAATAGTTTAGTTTTTTCGGTGTTGAAACACATTAGGTTACCACTTAACTAGTGAACTATACGTTTAAGATCCGAATTAACATTTTTACATAAAGAATGACAAGATTTGATGATGTGCAAGAGATTTGTATCATTAGCAATCAGATGAACTGATGAAAAGTGAACAGAGTTGATTAGGTCGTTAACGTAGATTAAAAACAAAAGAGGACCTAGAACAGAATCTTGAAGAACACCACACAAAACTGATTTATTACTAGAATTGAAACCATTAATACTTACATATTGTTTTCAATCTAAAAGATAAGATCAAAACCAGTCATTTAGAATACTGCGAATTCCATAATTTTTTAATTTAGAAATAAAAATAGTATGGTCAACGGTATGGAAAGCTTTTAGTAAACCGATAAAAACACCACAAACGAAATGACCAGTATCAAGAGCTTTCCTGATTTTGAAATTACTAGGCTGTCCTAAAAGCAGCATTTTGAAGATACTTTTTAAAAAGGTGTAACTTTAGGTGCATCAACTATATCAAATTTATTTCAACGGAAACTTGCGTAACTTAGTAACGCGAATAAAATCAAGTTAGAAATGATGGATATCAAAGCCTGGGGCAAAATTATTTTATTGCGCTTACATCCCTCTCCATGCTTAAGAGCATACTTTTTCTAAAATTATTGATGGTGCAAAAATTTGCAAAAGTTTAAGAGTTTGACCTTTCGCTAACAAGGTCCATCGATCACAAGCCAATTAGAGATAAATTTGTTAGCCAAACGTGCAACAAAATACACGATGAAATGACTGGATATATATATATATTTTTAAGGTTATTTAGGTGCTCCCAGAAGTACTTACGATTTTATCACGGAGCACCGCGGGAGAGCATTTAACTAGAAGTTCACGCCTCCTTTTTTACCAATGTCACTTATTGCTTATTGGGCTAGAGCCGCCGTCGAACCTCGGACCTCTGGATTCTGAGCCAGAACTCTAACGTCTGCGCCACGGCTGCTTTTTTTCAAATAAGCCTAATCAAAGCACATGCTTGGATGTAATATGCAAAGATGCAGTAAGATGCTGGAAGGGCAGCTAGTTGATAAAAAAGATAAGAGCTATGAGTATTTAAAGGTTTGAAATTTAGTTTTGTGTAAATTAACGATGCTAAAAAAGAGTATGTTTTGCTTATTAATTTTAAAGTTGATGAAATAGACACACAAAAAAATCTTGAGCTTGTAACTGAAAAATCTCTCAAAATCATGAAATTAAAAAAAAAAAGATTTTTATAAAAGTTTAAAGTTCTTCAAAACGACTTTAAAAATAACCACAATACAAAGACCGGTGAGTTAATTACGCATACATAAAACGTTGTTTTAAACCAATGCGAGGTTAATATTCTAAAAAACCAAAATTTAAAACTTGGTCCACACTTTTTACCTTCGTTAAAATAAATAATTATATGGATATTTTTGCAACAATAGAGACCACGACTTTAAAACTTGAATATAAAAACAAGATTAAAAATGCACAAAGTTTAGTAAAACAACTGAATATATCAGTTTGATAAAGACAATAGTTTTGTAAGAGTAGCAAACAATAAATCTTTAGAAAAAATTTATTTATAAAGTGTGAAGCAATGTTATTTTTAAAAAATTTGATCGTTTTTTATTAAGTTGGGAGCGGTTTAATTTTAATAACTAGAAGCTTGCTTCTAGTTATGCTAATAAAATTAAAACTTACCTCTCACATTTTTTGCTTAGAAACTATTTGGTATACAACATTTCATAAATTCGTAGCATGCACTCCATTACAGATGTAAAGTTTTTTATTACTTTGTACTAGATTGATATCTTAAATATATTGGATTATCATACTTAAATACCTGACAGCACTAAATAAAAAACAATTGTATTTTTAGAAACGTTATTTATTCAACAAGTTATTTAAAATAAAATAATGTCAACGCTGATTGCTATTATTAGAATGGCTGTTCTTGTATTATATCGTTGCCAGTCTACATAGATGGTTGTGTTTCACTTCTGGCCAATTCTGACCGATTCTGGCGAATGTTTTATTTGAGTTTTAAAAGTGTTGAAAACTCTGCCTCACCAAGCCACGTTGTTGCGAAAGGCAAAGAGAATATTTGATAATTGTGAAGTATGAAGCAGACATTGCAATTAGATACATCCTGACAACTGGAATCGGTCAGCAAATTTATCTACTTTTTTTTTTGCAGCGCTTTATTGATCACATCAGCATCTACAATAAAAGGATTCCTCACTATCACCAAATAAGGTTGACTTAATTCAGGAAAAAAGGACTTATACCCTGCTATCAGCCTAGTAAAATTCTAATACCTACTCCTTTATATCATTAGACATGAGAACAATTTTCCTTTGGAACATTTTATCTGACAATGGGATTGTAACCAACTTTTTATCACAATCATCTATCAACACAAATCGTACCATTGCAAAAGCAGCTAACTTAATGAGGCTTTCCCCAATGCCATGTGCCTTCTTTTATCTAGCAATCAGCATACTTACTGCAAATGACGCTTTTATCAGTTTGGCATCAGCTTGTCAAAATTTATTGGATTCATTCAAAATCCCCGAATTCATCAAGTCGCTGTGTCTTCAAATTTAACGCTAACCTTTTGAAGTAATCTAAGTTTTTTGGACTAGATTTTTTTGATTTAGATTAGATTGATTAGTTCTTTTTGATTTAACCTTTTTTCTAATGACAAAGATTAAATCAAAAGTCATTGACCAAAACTCGATAGCTTAATCATTCATTAATGAAAAACCATACTTTATGAACGCATCATTGCATTTTCTTCTTGTTATGTTAGCTACAATTATATAAAATAGAAAGTTTACACAATTGTCTCACTTATCAATGCCACTTTTATATTAACTGTTTTTTTTTATTAATTATTTAATTCAGATGTACTCGAAAATATATTAAACAAAAATTACAACTAAAATTTCATTTTCAACAACATAAACGGCTCAAACTTTATCAAAAATGTTTAAAATTTAAAAGCTTTGAATGTAATGAGTTTAATTTTGCACTCAACAACCTTTATTTATTAACTTTTATCATTGCACCAAGGACATATTAAAAGACTGGTGTTTAACGCATTGTTATAGATAAAAAGCGCCGCCAATTACAGAAATTCTAAGCGGGTTATAACTTTTAACTTCATTTTTTAAAATAATTTTGCAAAATAAACCGACATTTTTACTTTGCCAACTTCTTTCAATAAACATTTTATTACCCGTAAAATGCTAATTTTTGGGAAATAAAAATGCAATTTATGTAATTAAGAACGCCTGATATGTTTGAAAATATTTTTTTTAAAAGTAGAGTTCTAGAATAATCGTATAATTTAAAAATTTTTGTTGCGTAGTTATACAGGAATAATGTTAGGATCATTGAATATATAGAGTAATTATTAACAATATAGTAAAATATAATAAACGCAATACTTTTCACAATAAAGTTTTTTTATTTTTATATATGAGACAGTTCGTCGCGTTGATTTAACAAGATTCTACTTGACATTTTTTCCAAAATTGGGATTATGACTTTATTGGACTATTTGCATCATGACAAACAAAATAAACTAAAATTTAGTGCGATCTAGCGTAAAATAAGTGAACTCCCAATGTGCCAAAGTTCTAGCTGCAGTTTTAGTTAACTAATAAATAGTTTGACAAGGTTCCAACTAACATGTTAGGGTAAACCCTAACTGCAGACTACTCCGAATTTTTCAGTTAAATTTATTAAAATAGGGAATTTCATGCTTATTAAATATCATATAAAAACATTGGTCTCAATATCAAAGTATAATGTTTTAGTTTGATATTGATGTAAAAAAAAAAAAAAATTAAACACAAAAACGCTAATATTTGCTATTTTTTATAAATCTTTTTTATAACGTTACATTGCACAACAAAAGCGTTAGATTGCACAACAAAAACGTTACATTACACAACTAAAACGTTATATTGCACAACAAAAACGTTACACTGCACAACAAAAACGATACATTACACAACAAAAAGTACTGGTTTCTATCAGATTTGAAATAACTATTTAAAAAATGAGAAAAATCACAATTCAGTCTTCTCACTTACCGTTAGTCGATGTAAGTACATTTTGCCGCACATATCCTTATCTTTCAGTCAATGTAAGTACGCAACAGTAACTGTGTATTGTACTGTGACCCAACGGTCAGTCAAACAAGTTTATTACCCATCGATTATTTTTAACGGTCAGTTAATGAATGTATAATTTTGAATATAGTTGAAAAACAATATAATGTAATTTTAATTATACACATTAGTTATAATAAAAAAGTTAAATAATTAATAATAATTTGTAATATAATAATTATAATAATAATAAATTATAATAAATTATAATTTGTAACAAAATGTTTTTTTGCAATTTTAAAAAGCGTGCTGAAATGATTTAAAAACACTTTTAAAGTAATGTAAAATAAGATAGTTATGTTGGAAATAAAACTATTTTTTATGGAAAAAAGCAAAGTGAAGAAAAATTTAAGTGTGATCAACTTGGCAGCATATTATAGAACAACCAAACAAAAATACTGAGAATTATGGACTGAACCAATGTGGTGGAAAATACCAGCAAGAATTTTTCTAGTGCCTTTTGCAAGATGTTGGATTGTGGAAAAGGGACAAGAGCAACTTAGTGACTTGGTCTGACTGCGTCCCTCAAAATCAGAACAGTATAATATCAAATAGTGTATAACATTATAAAATGCTTACTTCCTAGTCATTTATGTGACTACAAACATTTATGCTACTACAATATACTAACTTCATAGTCATTTATGTATCCAGAAAGTGGATCATGTGCATAATTAAATTAAAAAGCCCATAAAGATAGCTGATTTTTATAGTCTACTTGGATTGATAAGGACCCTCAAACAAGTTAACAAAAAAATTAGAACCTTGTCAAACCCCCTTGGTCAAAGCCCCATTTGAATCAATCTACCCAATAAAACGAGTCCAACTATCCAAAGCTCAAACTCAAGTCTCTGTCCAATTGCAACCTTCCCAAACAGAATCTTCGGATTCTAAAACCTCATCTTCTTCACCTGAGCCAACAAGAAAACTAGAATTTGCGAGAACCCTGCATGGCGAAACGATTTCAAGTTCTTATAATGTCAGGCATATCATCATTATAAAAAAACTTCACGTTGACCTAGAATATTTGTTCATTATCATTACAACAGATATATCCGACAATTATATCCGAACAGTTATTCTAAAGTCGGATATATCTGATCATTTTCCTACATTTTTGTTGCTTAAATCAAACTCTGAAAATATAACCAAATTAAATAAAATTAAAATACGTACTTTTAACGAAACCAATATCAAATAATTTATCCAATTATCCAAATTATCCAATTTATCCAAATCCAATTATCACTCCTACGCTGGAAGCATGTTAACTTTAATGATAATGCAGACAAAATTTCGATAATTTTTTTGAAACAATTTATTACGTGTATGACGCTAACTTTCCTATCATTGTAAAAATAATAGATCCAAAAAATATAAACAACCCATGGGTGACCAGAGAATTTAAAAAATCATCAAAAATAAAACAGAAGCTTTATCTAAAATATCTTAAAACAAAATCATTTGCAAATGAAAAAATATATAAAGAATACAAACACCTCTTTGAAAAAGTTCGTAAAAACCTAAAAAAAATCATTACTTAAGACTCATAGATAAATTTAATAATAACTCAAAACGCACTTGGCAAATAATAAATGAAATTAGTGGTAGACAAAGAAGATGCTCAGGTTCCCTCCCCCAAACGATTATAGTTGATAACAAACATATATGCGAATCAAGAGCTAAAGCTCATAAATTTGATAAATACTTTGTTGACTAGCAAACTAGCAAACAAAATTCCTTATACAAATGCTACATTTAGAGATTTTTTAGTACAAGTGGACTATTGCACTGGTTCCAACAAATTATCTTCTGAACTATCTTTTCAAGAGTTTGAAAAAGCTTACAAACTCTTTAAAAAAAATAAATCAAACGGAGCAGATGACATAAACGGTAATATAGTCGTAGAATGTTTTGAATATTTAAAAGATATCCTATTTAAAGTCTATGGAGCATCTATAAGTTGAGGAATTTTTCTTGAACAACTAAAAATTGCTAAAATTACTCCAATTTTAAAAGAAGATGATCAAACAAATATCAGTAATTATCGCCCTATCTCTGCCCTCTCCACATTTTCAAAAATACTAGAACGTATTATGTACAATAGATTATACAATTATCTTCATTCTAATAATTTTTTGTACAACTATCAATTTGGCTTTAAAATAAATAATTCCACAAAACATGCAGTTTGAAAAGTCTAAATATATATATGGTGTTTTCATCAACCCATCGAAAGCATTCGGTACTGTCGATCATAAAATTTTACTACACAAGCTAAAATATTACAAAATAAATTGCAAAGTTATAAAATGGTTCAAAAGTTATTTATCCAACTGTAAACAATTTGTTTTCAGCAATAATGATCATCCAAATAAGTTTCTAAATATTTCATGTGGCGTTCAAAAGGTTCCATTTTTATACCATTATTGTTCTTGATTTATACAAACGACCATAACTTTTTAATGTTGAGAGTTAGTTTGTTGCATTTAAACATTTAAACCAACAAACTAACTCTTAACATTAAAAAACCAAATTGGGTTTTTTACCACCCAGTCTCAAATAAAACCTATTTACCCCGAAGTTTGCCTAAAATTTTTATTGATGATGTTAAAATAAAAAGACATAATGTAACAAAACTCTTAGGTGTTTGTCTTAATGAAAACATCACTTGGAAAACGCTTATCGACTATATTACTACTAAAATTTCTAAAATTTTGGAATTTTATATAAGACCAGAACATATTTATGTAAAAAAAGTCTAACTCAACTTTATTATTCATTGTTATTTAAATTTTGCTGATGTTGCATGGGGAAGCACCGAAAAGCCTTTATCGCCGTCAGAAACATGCGATCCGTTTAATTAATTTTGCGGATCGATACACTCATTCCAAACCATTTTTTATTGAAGTAAAAGTTCTCAATATTTATGAGCTTAACGTTTTCAACGTTTTGTGCTTTATGTATATGTGGAAAAATGACATATCTTTACCCGTTTTCAAATATCTCTTATGTTTGAAATCAATAAATGAATATACACTTAAACAATAATTTTATATATGAGCTCCTTTGTCAAACCAAGTTTAACCAGTTTTGTATTGCATATCGTGCACTCTATCTTGGGAATAAAATTATTTTGTCTAATTTCGACATTCATTTTACTTTTCCAATTTTCAAATATAAACTGAAAATTTTAATTATCTTAATGAACGAAGTCGTCAGGCTTTTTTAATTGTAATTTTATATCTCCTTTAGAACTTTTATTGTTAATTACGTTTTATTTTGTTGATTATGTTTTGATGCAGTTTATATACACACACTTGGAAAAGGTTCTGATGATAAGATCAGTTCGATCTTCTTTCAGAAACCTTGATTGTGTTTGTGAAAGTAATTTATTTACTACGACAACAATATTATCAGGAACTCAGGTGCGATATATGCTGTTATAGCATTCTTTCTGATACCATAAAGACGCAACATCCTTGCTCCAGCATGTAACTTTATCTGCTACAAATGGACAAATGCTTGGTTCCATTTCTAGCACTATAATGAAGCCTCCTTTGATGAACTTTTTCCCTGCTCATTAAGATAAAATGCATGAAGGCAATTAAGTAGTTAAAGGTGTATTGGATGATAGAGGAGTCATTACTTAAAATTTCCAGGTCTAACCAAATTGCAGAACGTGCTAAACTAATAAAGGAACGACATGAGAAATTAAGAAAAATTGAATTTTTGAATCTGAAATTCATTGGAAAAAATATTTTTTTAATATTTCTTGTTCAGATTACTAACCGTTCTGCTTCTTACTTGTTAATAAAAGTTGCTTAGTTATTACTCTTTTAAATAATGAAAAAAAAAAATTCCTTTTTTTGAAATAAAAAAATTTTTTCAATTAAAAAAAAAAATCAAAATGTATTCAAAATATAAATAACACAAAAATATAAATAACACAAAAATATAAATAACACAAAAATATAAATAACACAAAAATATAAATAACTCAAGATATAAATAACACAAAATTTAAATAACACAAAAAGTTATTATCCGAGTGCAGGCGATATAACTATGGCAATTTAAAAGAACGAGATGATTCAATCTTTCTTGAGACATTGTAAAACGCAAACAAGTCTTTAGCCTACGAAGACAAGAAAAAGAGCGCTCACACGTTCGCGTGTGACACGGTGACAGGCATACATAATAAAATTATTACTAGTTTTATAAAATTGGGAATCAGTGGAATTAATTGAGAAAATACACCATCATAGTCTACAAGCTTGCTCAAAACTGATTCAAAATCATTTAGTTTAATATTTGGCATAATTCACAAATAAATCGCAATGCAGTTTTAGACTTCTATAATTTTCAAAGCCATCTTTGTAAAAAAGCCTAAACGAATCCTACATTTCAAGCACTGACCAATGATAAACATTTCTATATTTCTAAATTCTCAGTGGTCTTTGTCAGTTCAAAACGGGTCACAAATTTCTTTATAAATAACAATCCAGAAATGCATAGTAAAGCTGGCGGTAGTGGTCATCTGAAGTCGTAGCAAAGTATGGAACTCCACTTCCAGAAAATTGTAATGAAATTTTACATTTCCGAGGCATCTGCATCTGCCTCAATTATCATAATTTAATATATTAAATAAAAATTCACCATAAAAGAAAACAATCTTTACCTTGGAGTGCTGTATTAGCATCCTCAATTATCATGAAGGTTATGCGCATCCTCAATTATCATGAAGGTTATGCGCATCCTCAATTATCATGAAGGTTATGCGCAAAATTTTCAGTTTCAAAAATATGTCAAACTTACAAAAAGATTCCAGATAACCTGCTGCTTTTGACTTATTTTTGGCTGAATTATCAGAATAATTTTCAAAATCCTCTAACCATCTGGTAATGGCGGACTAGTTACTTGTAATAGATATAATGGATGGTTTTCTAAGGATCTATCGAGTGGGGCAAAATAGCCGCAATGATGTTCCGCTTTCTACATCCTCTACATTTTTCTACAAAATTTATTGAAACATGCTAGGTGTTTTGGAGATACACGGGCAAATGCAATGAATGATTACACCAAATTAGTTATATTCTTGATCTCTATTTGATTGTCAACAGAATCTCATTCTACCAAACTGAGATTATGAGCATAACATTGCACGTAAATTGCCCGCTCTTCTTTTCCTCTCATTAAAGTCTGCAACCCATAAATACTTCCAAACATGTTAGACGATCCGTCAAATCATCGGCTTTGACTATTCTGAATTAAAAGGCAAAATTGACACAAAACGTCTATAACACAGTTTAACAAAGCTACGCTCTTGATGTTCTCGGTTTGGTAAAATCACATAAAAAGCTTCTCAATCTTAAATTTATCATTAACTCGCTGAATGCTGATCAAAACTTGTTCCTTCACAGATAGATGTCATACCAAGATTTTGAATGTTTTCTTCGTTGAACTGCTTGCAGGAGTTAATAAGCTTGTGGCAAACCCCAAACTTATCAAATAGGACTTTAAAGTTCTGACAAAGTTCAATAGTTTCATTGTGTATATCAGTATCCTTGAACCCAAGTTCGACTACGAGCTTTAGTATTGAGTTGCATAGTTCGAGGATACTTTTCATCTAATAATGTTTTTTAAATAAGTTATATATGTTAAATTATATTTTTTTCATAGATATACATTAGATATACATATAAACAAATAAATACTGATCATATCTATATAAGTATACTTTTTTTTAATTTGGAATAAACGAATATACTACTTTATATTTAAAAAGTAAATGATTAGTTTACCTTAAACATTTTGTTAACATGGTTACCAACAAAACTTTTTCCATAGTATGCTTGCCTTTGCACTCTTAACAAATTAATTACCTCGTCAAGTTTATTTACTAGTGAATCAAATGACATCTCTACATGGTCAGTTTCTTTCATTATTTTCAATTCTGAGATCTATGAATATAAATATGGCAATTAATTCTCATAGAAATACAAAATGCTGATATAAATAAAAAATACCAAAATATAAATTGTTAGAAATAACATTTCTATTAGGATCCAAGCAATATGTGTTATTTACGATTTATATTTTTAGTGAACAATAAAATTTTAAATGTTTACCTTTTCTTTTTTTTTCTCTTCAAAGTGACTTATACGTGGTTCAAATACTAACTTTATATATTCTTCATTTTCAGGGTTAGCTTATATGTGAGTTTCAAGTGCTTCTGTTATGATACCTGTTTTATTTTTAATATCCTAAATACTTGTCTGAAGTTGTTTTATTTGACGTTGTTTCTCAATATATTTGTTAAACTCTTCACAGTCAAGTGTTTGGTTGTTTACTGCCATTCGACATGCAATTTTGACGTCAATTGTATGACAAGAATCTTCTAACATATTGAAAAATTTTAAATACGTACCAAGCAAGATATGTAATGCTGAAATTCCAATCTTAAATTGCAATCAAAATATATATAGTTATGTTTAACAATCGCTTTGGTATAATTAAAATAAAAGTTATGGATGTTGGAAAATAATTATTTAAAGTACCTGATCAAGTGGCACATTAAATAACCTTTGGTCAATAACATTATCACATAACTTGGCAAATTTGGGATCTGAACCATGATTTTTATATTTTTCTAAATGTGAATCTAGTGTCTCAAGTGATCGCATTTCAATATTGTCCTTGATTAGAGTTGACATTCCTTGTCTTGTAATGTTGCATAACAGACATGCATGTCTACCTGAAGTTATCAAAGAATTCAATACTTTAAAAACAAAATCAATCGTATAGCAGGAATATGCGCCATATGAGTTTTTAAATGGATATATATAATTAATATTTACTTACCAGTTGCACCAGTTATTCCATAGATTGCACACAAGAATTTGTAATCACCAAATAAAAATATACGAATCTGTTTTTCTCTACGTTTGAAAATTCTTACCTCCAAATGGTATTTTGCAACAAATCAATTTCTGACTTAAATCTTGACAGTGAAAACTTCAGATTTGTTTTACAATCATTTGCTTCAAATATATTAAAGACAGTTGTGTTTGTTTTTGCATTAGGTTTCTCTACGTTCACTACTTGGTAACACATTTTGAACGAGCCACCTCCATGGTCACCTCCTATTTTTATATGGATTTCATTGCTTTTAATCTTTTTGTTCAATAGTAAGTTGTTGCTAAAGTATATTATAGAAAATTAAATTTTAGAATATTGTTAATATAAGCACATGGCAATTCTTTTATTTCATAAGAACCTTTGGACTCTTTTTTTTCAACCATAAATGGAGCTTTTTCAATAATAAGATCATCACATGACCATTTCTTAGCAACGCATCTTTGTTGTGCGTTTGAAGCACAAATGATGTTCTTGGTTTTCAACCACCTAAAACAATAATGCATTTAATTTTTTGAAAAGGTTGTGATTTTTATTCAATTCAATTTTTCTAGATTTTTATACAATAATTTTCATTTGTTTACCTAAAAAATATTTTCATGTTGGCATAGGTACTGCTTATGTTAGCTTTTAAACTTATTATTTCTTCAGCTGATATTTTAGTTTTTAATATATTTGAATTACTTAGAATAACTTCTTGTTCATTTTCATTGAACGATTCCAAAAGAGTAGTGGTTTGCTTGATTTTCGACCTAATGCTTTCACCATACGTTGTGCTTATCTAATCGTTTAACTGTAATTGTTGTTTGCGAACTGTTCGTAAAGTTGCATCTTTACTTTTTTTACATGCATTTGGTGTTGATGTAAAGCATAAAGGCTAAAATACTATGTAATTTATGAATGTTTTATATATTATTATAGTTTATTAACATACAACTTGAAGAATTTTGTAATATCAGTTTTATATCTCTATGCTTTTACTAAAATAATCTTACCCTTGGTCCATCCGTCTGAAATTCTATTACGTTGGATGTTGTTTGCAACATTTTTTGTTTAATAATATGAAGTGCAACAGCATCAATATCCCTTGTGATAACACTTGTTGAATTTAATGCAAATATATCTGATAGACTTGTTTGTGATGTTGATGATGTTGACAATGTTGTGGAAATTGGTATTGGTGTCTGAAAAATATTTTGATGACTCAGGCGTTCTGACAGTTGTGACACTTTAAATAATCTACCACAACGTTGCTCACATTCTTCTTGAATATTATTTATCATTTCAATAACATTGCTAGAGGAGGTTAATTCATTAATTGAAATTGAAAAAAGCATTTAGGGCATTTTATTTTAGATAATAATTTATTATTAATAAGTGGTAATATACATGGTGCACAAAACGAATGCAGACAGTTTTTTAAGATAACTGGTTTATACATAATACTATTACAAATATAACAGACACAAAGATGTACATGTGGGTTGAAGTTTTGGTTAATGTCTTGTAGTTTTAGATTTAAAGTTGGAAGAGGTGAAAGTTTAGCTTGTATGTCATTTATTGCTTGTCGAGTCCAAATTTCTTCATTAGCTATACTCAAGGGCCTTCCTTTTACAGTTTTCTTTGGTTTCCTTCCTTCATTTACTTTAAAGCAAACACATTCATATTTCTGGCAATTGCTAATCAAGGTTCTTAATTTAAGATTAGTATTGGAACCTTTTTCTATGTTTCTCATTATTGAATAGCATCTGTAACACATCTTCTGTGGGTGCATCTTTGGGTCGTCGTTGTCGATTCGTATAAAAAAATGCAATTCTATTCTATTTACATGGTTTTTTAAAAAAACACTACGATTTCAAAGTTTTTCTCCACATATTCGACATAATTTTTTAAATTTTGTTATATGAGACTCAGTCATTTTTATATTTATTTATAGCTAAATAATAGTATTTGATGTGCACTGTTTTTAAATTTAAAAAAAGTAACCCAAGTCTAATTTTTTTTTTTAATATAAAGATAAACTCTTCTAGTTTTAAAATATATTAGGTTTTAAAGCCAAAAAATTTAAATAAGCGCTTAATTATCCAGTTTTAGTAGTATACATAGCCATAAAATCAAGCTGAGTTTCCCGCGTTTTTAGAGATACTTAAATTTAAAAATTTAAATGTTGTGTAAAAATACATTACCAATCGCCATAATTATATCAATTTAAATAATGGGATATCAATTATACCTCTTTTTAGCAAAGCTATGAGCTACTTTTTAGGATATGGTTAAAAAAAAAGTTACTAAATAAAAACAAAAAACGATATCTTTTTAAATAAAAGTTGCGCATGCGCGTTATAAAATGCCGCGATTGTTCAATATTAAACCACCGTGAAGTGTAGGCTACCGATACCCCGTAATTAGAGGGGATGAGGTGTTGTGGGGGAGCTGCTAATTTTATTCCCTTTTTCTATTTTATTTTAGCAAAACCTAGCGGTAAAATTTGGAAGATTTTGAGATTTTAACGACAATTTTTTTTATTTTGATGGGAGGGGGGTCTCCGACCTATTAGCCATTGCACTGCTAAAACCTGTTTTTTGTTTACTCAAAAAATAGGCAACCTATTTTTTGCACATGCATACACACATGCCACTCCTTATATACTGGCCCTGAGTATACTCAGGGCCAGTATATAAGGGGTGGCATGGGCGCCTGCAGGTTTTTTTGATGTTTCAGATAGGACACTTTCACACATTGTGCAAACTCCAAACTTAAGTATGTTTATACCTATGCCAAATGAGGAGACCTTGTAAAAAATTGGTATGGCGGAGAGCTGTCAACAAAAAGCCCTGAAACGCTTGGCTCCCTGCTCAAACATGAGGGCACTTACTGTAGTAAAATTTTTAACTTAACGATCTAAAATTAAATTTAAATTTATCGACAGAATTTAAACTTCGTTGAAAAATATTGTAAACAACAAAATGTCGATGTAAATGTCGATGCAAAATCTACAACCCCTCATTTATTTATTTTTTGGGGGTCGGGGGTCGGAAAATTTTACTACATTAGTGCCCTCACGTTTGGGCAGGGGAGGTGATGCAAGCATTTGGGGGCTTTTTTGTTCCCAGACTACCGCCATAACAATTTTTTGCAAGGCCTCTTCAAACGGCATAGGTATAAACATACTTAAGTTTGCAGTTTGCACAATGTGTGAAAGTGGTTTATCTGGAACATCAAAAAATCTTGCGGGCGCCCGTGCATGTGTGTGCATAGAGAGAAGTTATACCTTCTACTCCCTTTACAGCACATCTTTTTATGTTGGCAAACTAGGATCTTTAGTCGCTTTTTGAAGACCTCCCCCCTCCCCGCTATGAGCGTACGTACTTTATGTACGTCCCCTAACCAAAGGTTATTCTGAACGTTAAGACCTTTTTACAAACCGTGTTGCAAACCATTGAAATAAATAAGCGAAGAATGTAACTGATGCACCTACACACAGTGTGCCCAGGACATGAAAAAATTCCTTTTTTAGACCTTTTATTTTTTCACTTTAAATAGTATTTTTATAATGTGTAGGGCATATGTAGGTCAGTCCAAAATTTTTTTTTGAAATTCATCGAACCATTTTTTTTTTATAGCTGTTTGAAGTTAAATAACTATTTTATAGCTGTTTGAAGTTAAAGAAAATATTGACGCAAAATATTTGTCTTAAAATTGTACCAAATATTGTTTTTTTAACAACAACTTTGAACAACACTATACATTAAAAACTACTCTATGAATTTAAAAAAAAATTTTCTTCCTCGGTCTGTTAATAATATTTAATTTGTGAATTACTTAATAAAAAATAAAAACTGAAGTTTAAACATTTTTTTTGTGCAGTTTTGTTTATACCTAAAAAAATTCTAAAATATATGAAAATATATATTTTTAATTAAAAGAAAGTAACAGGAAACAAAAGGCCGCAGGAGGCCTTAAATAAACTCAAATGTTTTATTAAATAGAGACTTTCTATTTTTATGTGTAAAAATTTCACAGTCCGGTTATTGAGTAATTTAAATTTGAATTTTATTTGTTCGTTCGAGTTGATATACGAGGTTGCGTAGTTATGAAAATCAACTTTCACGGACGATTCAGGAATATCTGTTGATAACATGCGACAAAATGTTATTGATAAAAAAAGGAGAATTAGAAGAAATTTTACTTGAACATCAAATTAAGTTCATTTGAAAATTTAAGCTTATTTTAAAAACAATCAAAGTGAGATTTAATCTAACTTTAGAAGATGAAAAAGATAACATTAAGAAATTTTAAAGCAAATTGACAGACACGTAAAAATATTCAAAGTTCGTTTTTTTAGTCCAAAAAAAAGAAAGATTATCTGTTCCGTAATTCTTAAAACAGAAAACCAAGATAACTTCTCGGCTTTGTTATCTAAGTTCAATATACTCCTTAGCATTAATCAGCATGTTGATATTAGCAAAAAAGTTGATCCTGATAAAGTTAAAGAAGTTGGTTATGGATTGATGATGTTTCATAAACAGACATTTCCATGGGCTATGCTTAACCCCAGCTTGCATTAAATGTGTACACATGCCTGGAAACTATTTATTATTACAGGTGGATCACCCATTGCCAAGTACTCCGAGCAGTCAGGCGAAATTTGGAATAAATACATTGAAGCATATAAATCAAGAACAAGTTGTAAAGCAAGACAAATGTCTTTGCAAATTAATACACATGACATTTACTGAAGACTGATGATAAAGACACATCCAATTATTGCCAGTTAAAAAAGACTTTTGGAATGTGGAACAGGTGGAAAATTCGGACATACCAAAAGAATGTGTAAAGTAGACGAGAACAACGTACTTAATGAAGAAAAAATGATAATTCAAG